AACCAACCCACCAACCAACCAACCATATTGACTGCAACCAAGCGAGGTCAAGACTCTTATCGTTTCCGTTCAGTCATTTTTAATTAGGGAAGGTTATTTGAAAATGTCTAGGAAATAAGGCGGTTAATGATAATAAAATGTGTATAGTACATGAAATGGACTCAGGAGCAGCTCAGAAACAGAAAGAACATGAAATAAATGCTAGTTAATTTTAATTTAATGCTAGGAAATTATCTTGTACTTTCAGATCTCCAAGATAAGCGAGACAAATTCTGCAGGGTTCTGAAGAAGTCCGAATACTACGCACGGTATGATCTAAAAGAAAATATATCGGTTGGCAAACGATGGAGATGTTACGGAAAATATGCTTTGACAGACGATAGACTACGATACAATACCACTAAACTTTCCATGGATTACGAAACTAGACACGATGAACTCATGGCCATCGAAGCTGGTACGTTTGATCTTTTAATAAAGACGTAACATAAGAGATCGGTCGTTGTTTAGTGGTGGAAGAGGCTGGTGCAAAATTAGGTATTCCATTTACCTTTTTCCTGGCTCCTCCCCCCCTTTTGTGATGCGCGTTATCTTTTACCCCCCGCCCTCCTCCACCCTCCTCCACCCGCTGGATTAACAAGCCTACATACGCACACACTTCGAGTTGCATAAATATATATGGGCCCCTTATTCTTCTTGAAATTGTTGGCCCCTCCACTTACTCTCTCAATAATGACCGGTCCTTACGAAAGAGGTGAATTCCATGAGAATCTGCACATAAAAATCAATGAATAAATAATATTTGATTAACAAAGTGGCAAAATTAGATTGTTTTGTATGGATTTGCAATAAGATTGTTTTCATAGAGTGCAAACAATATAACCGTGAAACTTTAGTAATACTAAATAGCACAATTTCATGCAAATTCCATTGTTCTCTGTTGTTTAATTAGCACTATTTTGTACTATTTAGTAATAAATGTTTCACGGATTAATTGTTTGCACTCTATGTTCTCAAGTTATAAACGTCTTGTGATTCTTAATTAAGGGATACATCTTTCTTGTATTTTTTAAACAATCGCATTTTAAGCAAATTTTAACACGATAACATGTACAGAAGACCTTGTCGAAGGTGAATGGTGTCATAAAACTCCTTGTATAAATATAGAGATTTCATAAAGTTCTGCCCTGTGCAAAAAATTATTAGAAATTATAACCCAAYGATAAATTTTCGCGCGCCGTCATTGGTCAGACGATATCCCCCTGAATTTAAATTCATCCAGTTAAAAATAAATGACGTAAAAACGAAGAGAAAAAACATGAAAAACAAAAAAAAACCGAATTTTGTTTATACAAACGAGTGAGAGCAGAAACGTAAAAGGGGGTTGAACACGATTGATTTTTCAGTTTCGAAAATGTTAATTTTAGCTGTTTAAATAGCAAAACGTTAGATCTCACTCGCAATGCATTGTGGGATRGTAGTGGATCCTCCTCTGGACTGAGGTCGCTTTTTGAAAATAAACTTTTTTATCTATCTAAACACACAGAATTTCCCAAACTGATTTACGATAGAATAGTGGAGTATTTATCAATCATCTACTGGCCATTGGATCATCCGAACGACTTGAAAGACTTGAACAATGACCAGTGGAGTTCAAACGTATACAACGGACAACCTGTGAGAGGAGTTATAGATGGTGCATTATTGCTTAACGGAACGGGAGACGCCATAAAATTTCCTCTCAGTTCGACTATAAACGACAGCTGTTTTTTTCATCCCAGAGGGGAATGCCCCAACGGCCTCGCCATTTCGTTATGGATAAAATACTACTTTTCCCCTCGAAACGGTGGAAATCAAGTATTTTTCTCGACATCTGTCGACGGGCAAGACAGAGGTTTTGTGATTTACCAAATCAATTCGTCATTTCCTCATGTTGCGGTTAGTGTCATTCATTCCAAAAATCGCTGCACAAAAGTGGTAGAGGTTGCTAGAGGAATATGGACACACTTGGCCGTTGTTTACCACAACAGAAACAACGTTGACATCCCCGAAGTTTACATCAATAGTACGAAGAATGCGACTGTCATCTGGAAAGGGTGTGAGAAACAAAGCTACAAGAGTGTTTCGAATGATTACTTCACTATTGGTCAAAGTGATGTTGGTGCACCTTATGCCTCGATAGACGACATCGTTATTGTCTTGAATGCGGAAACTTACTTGAACAGCTTATCCAACGTGTACAACTACTATAAAGGTAATTTGGAATTTTTGTTATAAAGAGCGTTCATAATCTATTTGTGAGGGTGGGTTTTGGAGGGTTTGGAGAAGGGGGCAATCCATTGTCTCCGGTAACATTGAGGTGGTGGGGGG